GGAAGATTTTGAAAATGTTGCCAAAATGGGGCATTGTAGACGTAAAAACCGTAGACTCGACAGCTAACGTAATAAACAAAGTCGAAGTCGATAATACCGATCTAAAACTAATAACAATACTTATTGTTACAATTTTGATTATAATACTAGCACATCTATTATACAAATTGTATAAAAACCATAATAAATGCATTAAGAAGCGATATCAAAGCCAGGCAAACGACCTGGATAAAATTTAAAATAAAATTACTGATAATCAGCAACAAAGATTGCTTAAAAACATTATTGAAGAAACAAAAAAACGAATTAATATGTATGACTATTTGCTTATTAAATTTATATATGTTCTTGCAAATTTTATTGGTTATTTTATAAATCTGTCTGCTGTAATATGCGCACATATAGAGTACACACTGTACTCAGAATATATCAAACTGTCACACTGTAACACTTTGTTGCAGTGTTTACATATGCACATTTCAAGTGCATACATATGTGATATGACCACACATACTACAATACCTAAGTGCACATAATATACTCTCTCTCTCAGCGCGGCTCTCAATGCTGCTTGCTTACATATATAAGTATATAATCTAACCGCTCCGCTGCCGGCGTCGCTAGCTAAGTAGTATCTATATTGGAACCTATTTCACCACGCCATCAGTAACTCTCAACTCCCAAAGATGAGACAAACATGCCCAGCAGACTGCGGGGGAGCACTCTACAGAGCATACATTGCAAGTATATTGCAAGTTGGCAATGAAGAAGACCAGCACTGGCCCCAGTAAAGCCAGTAAAGCTGGCAAACCACAACCTGTGCGAAGACAAAAGGAGCCGTCGCCTGGCAGCGACGCAATTTGGAAACGATACAGCAGCAACGATCAAATCAAAAAGAGGTTTTTTCTCTGCATGGCGACCGTGACAGGACTACTTGTATTTCTGCGGCTAGAGCAGAAGAAACAACAATAGCAACATTGTCACATGGCAAATAAAGAATCAACAAACACCGACGTTCGCAGAGGGAACACAAATAACGCAAACGGATGCACCAATAATTGAGGAGTGCAAAAGAAGGCCTGCTTGGAACACCCTGTTGCAAAACAGGAAGAAGCGGACTAACAAATGTTAGTGGCTCGCTTAATTTCTTTAAGTACCCATCTTGTGCTTGCGCTAGGTACGAAAACTAACAAGTGTCTCAGTTCAAATAACTAACAAACACTTTGCAGTGTAAACTTATTCTAAGTAAAATATTGTAAACTTGACATTTGCTAATGTCAACTTGTAGTGTGTATATGCCCTAACAGAACACCCTGTATTTAAATACACTTTGTTGCATACAATAACAAACATTAAGCCAAAATCGCACCATAAACATATGTACTCACTAATCCATGCACTTACCACACACTCTCTCTCTCTCTCTCTCTCACTCTTTCTCTCTCTCTCTCTCTTTCAATTATGCTCTGCTGCGACAGAGCTTTACTATATCTTAGGTTTTGAAGCGGACAGAGTTCCGAATAAAGAACATTCCAAATATGATTACAAACCAGCACTGACGTGCTTTGAACTTTTTCTCTACACTATATAAAATATAATGAAAGTATAAAGTTCATTAACAATTTGCAACGATTTTCAAAATTTAAATTCAAATGAGCTCAAACGAGTCAAAGGTTGAAAAATCAGCCGCAAATGTAATTAACAATGTAAAAGTCATCGATCATAAAGAAAATTTAGAGAATATTACAAGTTTGTTAATCATAATCACTGTCGCATCTCTTGCATCACCAGCATTGAAGGTGTATGCAATGCATACAAAGAAAAGGTCTGAATATATTTCAATGAAATAAAAAACAAACCACAATATGTCAGAGCCAGATTTCCGTACGCGCACACTAAATGTACTGCGACTACATAAAGACTCCATAAAAGTATATGATTTCGAATATGAATACATGGACATGTTCAATACCAGTATGAGCCCATTGATACATTGTTCAAAATACGAAAAGGGAATCATTTTGGGACCGGCAACGATACTAATGGTGCGACTGCATCGGTAAGCATTTTAATAATAACATGGAATGGAGTATATAAGTGAAAAATATTAATGACTTCAAAGATCAATTCGACAGGTCACATAGGTGCATTAATAAATGCATATCTATAAAAGTAAAAACGCTAATATACCATGTACAAGTATTAATAAAACAATATAGCAACATAGTAAATTCACTTAAAAATAAACTTACACAAGAAGATGCCAAACAGTGTCTAAAAGTTATGCAATCTCTAAATACAAGATTGCAAAATATTGGCATTAGACAGAATATTGAAATAAATGTGCCAGAAGATCTAAATCTATTCGCTGATTTCAATGAAAGCCAGCTCAAAGAATTAGACGAGTCTAAACCATAAAATAGACACAGACATTGACAGTGACATAGAGAGGATTCAAGAAAACGACACAATGGCACAACAGGTAGCCTTGGCTGGAGAATATGTGAAACAAGTTTCATCCTCAATCCCTGGAAGGTGCTGATATTTCATGATGATGGTATTTCATCGATCCTAGCTAACGAATATTCGACAGTCAAAGCTTTTAATGGATGCCGGTTAATTATCTTCCAATTTGTCAAGCCGATCAGATACAGTTCAGATAAAGTATTATAGCAATCGGCATACCAATAACTATCGTGGAGGCAACAAGAGCAAACGCGTTAGTGGAAACAGAAGTTTCCGATGGAAACAACCAGGCAATAGTAAAAACAATATGGTTCAAGTTACACAAAGTAGCTCGGAAAGCCAAGAAACAACCAAAATGCATGTTCTCAATCTCAGTAAAAGCATCTTTATAAACGTTGCAAATGAATTTGTTTTATATTTATATTTCTTTAATCAAATAAAATTCAGATACTTTTACTGACACAGACCAAAACTGTGTTACACGAAAAACAGGAATCGGCGAAGGAATTTGTAAGCTACGATAAGCTAATTTCAAGTCAATAAAACTGACGTCAGTTTTACAAGGAATCGATTGTAATAGAACCTTTAATCAAATATGGATCTCAGAGATGACAATAACAATCTTGAAATTCAAGAAAATATAATATCATCAAGAACACGTGACATTGCTGATGATGATTATAAAGTGCCTGAAACAGATATTGAAGACGAACTAATGCCGGAAACAGATCGGGAGGACAACATGTATTACTACTCTCATATAAATTATTTAATAAAGATCATTCAATAAACTGATACTGCTATGGAATCTTTGTAGACGTTAAGTCCACGTCTGCATTGACGGATTGCTCCGGAAAATCTAGATGAGTCTCCCCGCCTCCTTCTTTCTAGTTCTGCGCTCTCATCTAATGGAGCGAAAGTTCGAAGTCAAAGTTATGCCAGCAATTTCTCCTGTTCGCAAAATGAAGGCGGGTCTACTAGACGCTGAGGCGTGGCAAGGCTCCAGCAGTCTGGATAGATGGCAGCCCCCTTCATTCTGGCAGAAGCAGCGGATACCTTGGAATTGTACTGGATAAGAGGCTTAGCTTTCGGGCGCACATCGACGGCCCAAAATGTGCCTAAAATAGAAATTATTAAAATAATAAAAAGCCTCCATCACTCGTCCAGCTGTGATAGCTCGCGCTGACGAACACGTACAGATTTATCATACCCTTCTTCAGCTATTTACAATAAGTACAGGGTATAAAAATGGCTGAGAAGTGCAAACAGGTGTTGAGAAGTGATTTTGTAGTGTATTCATCCATGTACATTTTGTAACACTTTGTTCCAATTACAAATATATCATACATATATTGAGCAAATGCGAAAAAAAACACAAATAAATAATACAATGTTAAGAATTATGTTATGAGGGTGAGAAAATTGACAAATTATGTTTAACAGCAACAAAAATAGTGTTGAGAAGTCATTAAAATGGCTATTCAAAAAACATTGACGAGAAGAATTGACAAACTGACATTTAAATAGTATTTGAGTTAAATGCAAAGGGAAGTTTTAAAAATAATCTATAAAAGAATTTTTAAACGCAAAACTTCACTTAAAACACCATAAAATATAAATACCAAACTGATTGAGCAATCGAAATGACAGAAAGCAGCGACACTCACACACACACACACACACACATATATATAGATGCATAGATTTGTTTATGGCTGTGTGTGCGTTTCGTACGTGAGATGTTGACGTGAAATGCAGCGCAAAGGCAATCCAAATCAGAATCAGCTAATTTAAATGTTGCCGTTTTTTCTCACACTCAAACATTTTTGTGGCAGCGCGAGGCACTTGAAAGCTAACACTCAACAGCGGCGGGAAATAAGAGAAAAGAAATAAAAAACCCAACTGAGAAAAAAATGCCTCAATAATAAATTCCTTGTGACGACTGGCGGTGCCGTCGCTGCTGCTGCTGCTGTTGCTGCTTGCGTTTGCATAAACAAAAACACCAGCATAAAATACACACATGCACACATGCATGCACAAATGCTTAGAAAGCACATGCACCTAAATATATACATACATACATACATACATATGTATATGTGTGTGTTGGGATTTTGTGAATTGCCATTTGGAAGTCATTTTTGAACAATGGCAACGCTTTGTCTTCCATTCTGTTATTGGTACACACATTCCTTTGCCGCCCACTCGGCTGGCTCTGCCGTTTTGCAACACTGCCGCCTTTGACTTTTCAATTAAGAATGTTAAACGTTCAAGCCGGGGCCTTTGCTCTTTCTCTCAATCAGTGCGCTCTCACACTCTCCTCCTCCTCCTCTCTCCACCTATCTGGCTGCCAGCACATATCCCATTGCACACCGTTATTTGTACAAATTAAATCATTTCTTTTGTGTTGAAGCTCAAGTTAAATACATATAAAAGTGCACACACACACACACACACACACACACACACAATGGACATACATGCATACATACATATATGTATGTATTTATGTAAGTAATTTGTTCGCTTTTGTCCGGCTGTGGCTAAAAACTGATTTTGAAAATCACACACACACACACACATACACAATGCTCACTTAAAGTTTTGCTCAATACACTTACATTAAGAAAAAGCTTGGCCAGCTCGGCCTGGGCCTGGGCTGGGCAGTTGATGCCCGCTCGGTCAATGCGCGTGCTTGAATGTTGTGCTTATTGCCGTCGTTGTTGTTGTTGTTGTTGTTGTTGTAACAGCTATTGCGCAAGTCTGGCCGTTTGCCGTTTTTATTGTTGCTGCCTTCATTGCCATTGTTGTTGTTGTCGTTGCTGCCGCTGTTGTTGTTGTTGTTGTAGGACTCGGTTTACTTTCGCATTGTCGCTCGTCTCAGTTTTCTGCAAAATGTGAAGAGACAAAAGGGCAACAAATGATTACAAACATATTGAGGTTCGTGCGAGGGTTGCTTAAAAAGTTATTCGAAAACTTAAAACTTGAAAAGTAATGCATATAAATAATATTATACAACATATTCAGTCCAAATTCAGTTCAGTCAATTCTAAACCGTTCCAGCGCGAATATAAATAATAATATATAATATAAATAATAATATATAATATAAATAATATATTTATATACGCTCTTGAATTTGTTAACAGTTTTCAATGATATACTACAATGATCTTTGAAAATTAGTTAGAAGTCAATGGAATGTTGAACTTTAAATTCTTTCACAGCGTTTTCCAACTATTTTTCTCACTTTTTTTGCTGGATTTTTAAAGTAAAAGCTGACACTCCTGCTTAAACGCTTACATTATGTGAAAATGTGACTTCCAGTGTTAACCAGTACTAAAATAATTTACAGTTTATGTATATATTTTACTCTTATACTACACCGAAGCAATTGTTAGTTTTTGAAAAAAACCCTGCAATGTTTATAAACGCACCTCGCTTGCGAAACACAGAACAACTTCGACGACGCGCTTGAGCCGCAAATTGAAAACGGACTTGAACGAACTTTTAATGCTCTAGCGCATTAAATGTGATATGTGCATAAATATATTATAGTTTGATCTGGATTATAAAAACATTTTAGTAAATGATCTAAGTTGCCAAGTTTATAAGTTATTCAGTTGCAGAATAAATATGTATGTATATATTGTATATACATATATATGTATTTTTAGGGTACATTATAGAGAAATATTTGAGTGTGTACTTTGTAAGGGTATTTAAAATGCTGAGCGTAAAATGTAAATGGGCCACATTGCAATTATTACTTGAAAAACTGCAGAGCGTACAAATTAAAATTGCCGCTAAGCTCGATTAATGAACGGAGTGTGCGTGTGCGTGTGTGTGTGTGTGTGTGTGTGTGTATGCTGAAAGTATCGCATTTTTGCTGTATTTGCTAATTTGACAAAAAGTACTGAAAGATACAGACACGTACTCCGGCTGCTCGAACTCAAACTCGCTGTCGTATCCGCAAGATACATTCGTATTTATAAGATACAAACACACACACACACACGCTCAGGCAGACACATGTGTGTTTGGCATTAAAATGACGCTGATATGCGCGTACCAGTTGACGAAAGATGCCCCATCCCCATGCCCCTGCCACCGACCCCTACCCCTACCCCTACTCCTCCTCCTACTCCTACTCCTGTTATACCTCATTTAGAGCGCAACTCCAACGTGAATCGACATCATCTGCGGATCGACTGCTGCACGGCTGCTGAGCGTGACGGTGACACGTTGCGTCGGGATTATGCAAAAACGCAAAAGAAATTGCAGCCGCAGTCGCTGTTGCAGTCGCTGTGGCAGTGGCAGCTGCAGCTGCAGCTGGGAGACACGTAAATTGCACGCATTTGCACGCTGCACAGTGGGACCAGTGTTGGGGAAGTCATGCTTCAAATTTGTTTTAGTAAATGAAAAATCTAAACAAAAATGCAAAATATTTACATTTCAATGAGGAAATCGAGGTGTTGCAATTGTTTATAAACATTCAAATGAAAACAACAATAACAAACAAAAAGACGACACAAACACACAAACACAATTAAAATATCCCAAGTAGTCGCAGCTCTCTATGGTAAACAATTGTACAACATTTGATTACAGTAAACAACAGTGTTGGAAAGTCAACTGACAACCACAATTGCTTTTAGGTACAGTTACAATTAACTCGGCTAGTTTACTTTTTGCCTGCCACAGAACTAAATCAACGAGTTTAAAATATAAATTATATATTTAAAAAAAAAAAATTGTAAACAAGACAAAATTGAATATTGTGGGAAAGCTGCGTTCGGAAACTAGAATAAAAGAACTTTTTGTTTAACTATTTTATAATATTATTTTAAATCTCAGTAATTTCTATTGAATAATATTTAATTGAAACTGAACTTTAACTGAGAAAACTTTTTGAAAATAATTTCCAATTTCTCAAAGTTGTTTTGGACATGTTAGCACGTAAAGTTTCTCTACAAATTAGCACTTAAGTAAGTCTTGGCTTATCAAATGTGATAAAGATGTTTCTATACGCATTTTGAGCAAAAATTTATATTTGCCCAAGATTCGATTGTCTGCAGTAAACAACTGAGAATCGGGAAAATCAGAAGAGAAAAGTGTATGAAAATTGGATAAATATTGAGCTTAATGAAAACAAATGGCCGGGAAAAAGACTGCCTTAATGAAAAATCTAGAATATCTATCTATTAATAGAGCCCTTTAATTATGAACCGCGAATAAGAGATATCACATGATATCCCCCCCAGGCAATAAAAGACTCATGAATAGCTTTGCAACTATGTGATATGCATGCTAATTCGAGAGTTGCTCGAGAAGTTGAACGAGTTCTTGACCTTATGCGACATGTGCTCGATAAGAAACAGCTCTTAAGTATCCAAGTGTGTGTGCGTGTGTGTGTGTGTGTGTCGTTAACTTGGCTGTGACCCGGCACAGTTTTAAGCCCGGTTTTTTGTTGTTCGTTTTTCTTTCTTTTAGATGCGTCGTCGCTGGCATTGCCCAAAATGTTGCTTGCGTAACAGTCGAGAGCGACGATAATGGCCCAAGGGGCAGGTTGGAGCCGGAGCTGCTGCTATGTTTGTGTGTGTGTGTGTGTGTTGACCGAGAGCGTTTCGGGTAAAACCACCTCAATAAACACACACAACACGCAACACACACAACACACAATGCACACACACCACGCAAAGCCATTTCGGACCGCGTTGATTATTAGCTTGGTAAACATGCCAGACGCCCCTTCCCACCCCGCACCCCGCGCTCCCCACGCAACGCGGCCTTGCAGCCCAACATCTGTTTCTGCAGGCTGTGACGCAGTCAAATATACATACATACATATATTTATTTAACAACAACCAACAAAAACATCATCAACAACAAAAAGAAAAGAAAAAAATCAATTTTGCATCATTTTCATTTCGATTTCGATTTCAATTTCAATTTCATTGTGCTTTTCCGCATTTTACCCTGAGTTCAAATGCGGGCAATGGGGTATAACAAACTTGTGTAAATGTATGTAACATACACAGGGGGAGATTGAGAGAGAGAGACAGAGAGAGAGAGGAAGAGTGAGATGGAGAGAGAGACATATAGAGAAACAGGGGGATAGAGAGAGAGAGCGAGGGAGAGACGGAGAGAGGGAAGAGTGAGATATATAGAGAAAAAAAAGAGATATATAGAGAAAGAGAGAAATATATAGAGAAAGAGAGAGACATATAGAGAAGGAGAGAGGGAAAGAAAGAGGGGGAGAGAGAAGAGGAACTGATGGAGAGAAAAATAGAGAGAAAGAGATATATATAAACAGAGAGAGAGAGAGAGAGAGAGAGATATAGAGAGAGACAGACAGATCTCTCTCTCTCTGTATATTATAACTATTATGAGAAAATTGTAATAAATTTCTTTTCTTACTCAATAAATTGAAAGAATTTTAGAGTTTACAATGAGTTATAGCTGCCTGCAGGGTATCTGGCAGTCGGGCACACATGATAAGTTTCTTTTTAAATTTTATATTTTATATTCGGGCTGTTGTGCAATGTGTCAGATCATTGGGAGTTGCGGGCGGAGACTTCGGGCTGTGGGGCTGTGGGAGGGCTTCTTATGTCTTATCACAGTGTGTAAAACGTGTGTCCATTTGTCGAATCAATATTCGTAATATTTAAATGGTCTCAAGAGGATGCCACACACACACACACACACACACACAGAGAGAGAGAGAGACAAAGAGCCCGTGTGTGTCAAGGGTTGCGCTGATTATTTTATGGCCATGTGGAAATCTACAGGAAATGTCCGAATAGCCAGCGGCCAACAGCGATGTGTTTTCCAGTGAAAACCAATGAAAAACATTTCACATTGCGCGCGTGTGTGTGTGTGTGTGTGTGTTCTTTTTTTATGGCACTTTCAAGTGGAAGAGAAGTAGAAGCAGACGAGATTGTAAACTTGGCGCATGGCCGTAAAGCAATTAAACAGTGCAACAAAAAGGGCCAGACACAAAACAGGGTATGTGAAATATAACCATTTGGCCGAAATGGTAAGGACGGCCCAAAAGAACCCAGCCATAACAACTGGAACCGCCAGCACTAGGTTAACATGCGTTAGGCGCCGCGGCGCCGTGTCCAGCAGCAGTGTTGCAAAGTTTCCCATTTTACAAAACGAATACCGAACCCAACACACATGTGTGCGTGTGCGTGTGCGTGCTGTTTAATTCCCGTTGTCATAGTGCGCATATGTCCCTTAATTTCCCTTTCGATTCTGGGCATTTGCACCGTAATTCCCGTTGATTTACCCAGTGAAAAAGTCACATGCTCGGGCACGCATTCCGGCAGCACTTACTGTGGCCTGTGGGCGTAGCAAATGGCTCACGCTCATTAAATAAACACATTGCGAATTTCGATGGGCGATTAGTCAACACTAAGAACTGCCTCTCGCCAATTAGGGTAATGTAAAACAGAGCCTGGGAACAGTTTTACTATATATAAAACATAATTTGTAAGCTACCATTCCTATGGAGACTATGTATATCATTTAGTAAGATGACGTTGTATGTGGAGTCTGTACATCCAAACCAAGTTTCGTCCGACTAGCTATGAGACTGACCGAGTTCACATGGGGTGTTCGATGGGAATGGGATCTATTACAAATCAGAAGATTACAATTTAGTAGAGGGAAAAGGTATTTTTTCATGTGCATGCCTTTAATGAGAATCTGTGCATTTCTTAAAAATGGTTTTTAGATCTATCAGTTATTTCTTATAGACTTGATTCATTTTTGACAAATGACTAATTTGCTTGGCTTTTTTGTTGGGTTTTGAGCAAGTCTCAAGACTTTCGCCAGATCGTATTACCTCAACTGATAAAACTAGGTACAGCTGCTTTATTTGATTAGAGACGCACACGATGAGTAATTCGCCGCATGAGCAGCACCTGACGAAGGTAAATTTCAGTTAAAGTAAAGATATATATATTTTCTTTGGATTTGCTTTTTTCTTGTTCGTTTCAGGTTCTGTTTGCGCTCGAGAGAAAGTGAGGTAATTGACAGCTCTATGGCTGCATATTTGTGTATTTGTTTGGGGTGTGTCTCGATTACGAGATTTACCTGTGCGTCTGTTTATTTGAAGCACATAATCTTATCAGCTTTAGGTGCGCGCACAGTGCTGGCCACATCATTAGTGACACTCTGAATAATTGCTTCGTTTTTATAGTGTTGGAAAATATGTGAAATGTTTGCATTTTTTCATAATTTCTGTGTTTATTGTCCGATTGAATATGGCATTGAGATACGTTTATATACAAAAAGTTATCGTTGGGCGTAGATATCTGAGAATCGAAATATTTAAATTAACTAGAACTTAGAACTTAAAAATATAATAATAATAATAAATAACATTAAAAAAAACTAAAAAATCGATATATATCGATTTTGATGACATGATCAAATACGAATACAAATTGATTGAAATGTGTGTGTGTGTGTGTAAGCGTCCCCATTTATGTGACCACCAGTGTATGTGTTTATTGGACAAACACCTACCTTAGCAAATGGTCTCCATGGGTATCTTTGTGGCAACCTGCCCGCTCGGACTGGCTGCAGTTGCGGCTGGCTGTGGGCCATCCTCGGTGATGGGGCTGGCTGGCGACATGGCTGTGGCTGTGGCTGCTGTTGTTGTTGTTGTTGTTGTGATGTTCATGGAGGTGTTCTGGGTGAACTCGGTGCCATTGGCGAGGGAGGGCAGGCCCTGGGAGCTGCTCGAGTGCTGGACACCGTTGGTGGTGTTGGTGATGTCGTGCCGGAGACGCGGACAGCAGATGCGCTTGCAGGCGGTCCACACCTGCGGCTGGCAGCCGACGACAATGAATATGAAGACGCCCTGGAGCGCATTGATGAGATCCGTCAGCAGCCAGACATCGTGCGGCCCGCCGACCAGCCACGAGATTATGTCCCAGATCCAGGTGACGCCCATGACCACGACCAGCTTGAGACAGACACGGCCCAGCGCCGATTTCTCCGTCGTCGACTTGACATCGTCGCGCTTCCACAGGCCGCACGTCAGCTGATGCGTTGTCGATATGAAGAGCACTATGTTGGCGCAGAGCAGCAGTCCGATGGGTCCGTAGAAGTAGGCGAATATGGCCAGAGAGCGATTGTCGAACCAGCAGTACAACTGGCCAAAGCCCGGACGCAGCAGCGCCGTCTCCGTCTCCGGCAGCTGGTCCACGCAGGCGGCAATGGCGCAGATCAGGAGCGGCAGGCCCCAGGCGTATGCCGAATAGAGTCGGAGACGCAGTGACTCCTGATTGCGTTCGAGGGAACTGGGACGAAAGTCGCGGAATGTCCACCAGATGTTAAAGCACATCGTGTTCAGCCAGAAGAAGGCCGACAGAAAGAAGAACTGCATCCCGATGGCCAGCAGCAGGCAGCTGACGGTGCCGGGCACCAGGGCCGTGCTCAGCTCCTCGATGGCCAGCAGAATCTTGCCAAGCAGCAGGCAGAATACATAATAGATCTGGCAACGCCAGTGCAGCGCATGATGCACCGCGGGCAGCATATAACCAGCGACCAGCGTGGCAGCCAGAAAGACAATCGATATGAGTATGCCAACGTCCAGGACAGCCTTCTGGAGGCTGCCCTCGACACCGCCGTACGGCACATTGTGATGCCCGCCGGCAAAGTGCTGGGTGCAGGCAATTATTTTCACCTCGCCCGCCCGCTCCGTATGCTCCAGGCAATACTGCGAGGCACTCAGATTCGTGTGGGCCAGCCGGAGCGAGCCGCTGCTGCGATTGAGCGTCGCCTCGTGCCAGTCGCCGGCAATGGCATAGCCGCTGCCATTGCCCCCCCCCAGGCACTCGGGCAGGCCGTAGCTGGTCTGGTAGCTGCCCGGCACCAGCTGCGGCGCCAGATGCAGTTGCAGCTGCCCGCTGTCCGCACGCTCGGCGGCCGTTTGCAGGCTGCAGCCCTTGGTGCCGCTGTCGTAGCTGCCCCATTTGCCGCAACATTTGCGCAGGCGCAACAGCGACAATGTGGTTGGGGCTGGCTGCGGTGCATCTCCGTCTGGATCTGAGCCGGGCGCACGCTCGCGGTCCGTGGCGGACGGCGCTGGATCTCTGTCCAAGCAGACCAGGGCGACATCCTGATCCACACAGTAGCTGGCCGGCTCGACGAGCAGGCCGCGCTCCCGCACCGACATGGTGCCATTGGGAAAGAGCACCACGTTCGCCTGGCGGCTGCTGAACAGCTCCTGTTGCTGGCTCTGCGCCTGGCAGCTGGGCCGCACATTTGGCTGGAACTTGATGAAGCGCGGCTTGGCGCCCTTCGGCTCAAAGAAGCGCTGCTGCTGCTTCAGATACACCAGCGGCACCCACATCTCCGAGGAGCCCGCTATGCACTCCAGCGTCGTTCCATTTAAATATTCACCCTGGTGGCAACACTTGTTCAGCAGAACTCGCGGGGGCGGCGGTCGTCCCGAGGCGCTTGCTGGCGCAGCTGTTGTTGTTGCCGATGCCGTTGCTGCGCTGCCTGTGACTAGCTCTTCTTCTTGCTGACTGTTTGCTGCGCAGATCAGCAGCAACAGCAGCCAATAGCTGTTCATCTTTGTGTGTGTGTGTGTGTGTGTTTGGGTGGGTGTTAATTTGTTTTGCAAGACTTCGTTCAGTTGGGTGCTTTTTAAATAAATTCACACTAATTGCCGCACAAAACACTGTCTTCGACTTCTGTCTATGTATATTTATATATGTATGAGTATTTACGCTAATGTACGTACAATTGCAGCTGCACACAACACTGTTCTACGCTTATAAATCAACATTTGCTGCTGCTGCTGCTGCACACAACACTGTTTTGGTTTGAGCCTCCTTATTGCTTCCTGTGCTGCGCACGAAACTCACAACAATTGCATTTGCTGCTGCCGCACACAACACTGTTTCCGCTGCTGCTTTTAAGACGAACTTCAATCAAGCTTTGCGGCTGCTGCAGACAGCGCTGTTTATAGACTGACGCCTGTTGCCTCCTCGTTGAATGCAGAAAAGCTTTCAAGACACACCAAAGATTTGTACATACAAATACATGCATGCAGACACATATTTAAGATGCCAATGCTGAGCGGTTTTTTCTGCCCTTGTTGTTGTTGTTGTTGTTGTTGCCGTTGTCTTATTTTCTTCGTCTAATTTTCTGGCTCTCTTGTGTGGCTTCTTGTGCGCACGTTTGCAGGCGCTCGTTGTCAATTATGTGGAAATACAAATACTCTGCTTGTTGTTCTTGTTGTTGTAGCTCGTTTCTCGTTGTCTGCCTTGCATTGTGTTTGGCACTAGTTGTTGTCACCCTCTCCCCCCCGCGTCTGATGCATGTGGTGGCGTTGCCAGCGTCGTCGTCGTCGTCGTCAAGCACGCATGATCTTTTCTCTACTTCTCTTCAGCTATTCGCTTTCGTCTTCGTCTTACAATTGTCTTGTTTTTCTTCTTCTTCTTGTTGTTGCTGTTGTTGTGTGTATCGTTTCGGTTCTCAGGCGTAGCAGAAAATGTTGCTTTTCACTTTTCAGCTCTGTGCTGTGGCTGCTCAATGCCGTTTTTATATTTTGTTTATCATTAATATATAAACACGTTAAATTGCTTTTTTTCTTCTTTACTTTTCTCTTGGCGTCAGTTGAACGAACCACAATTGAATATCAAGCGCGTCAGGCAAAAATAATTCGAAAAAAAATTCACACACACAAAAATTTATGCCGAGCTGCACGTCTGCAACGAACGAATACAAAAAACCGACTGCCGGACTGTTAACTTAACAGGCGTGCATTAATGTTGTTGCGGCGCTGTCGTTCAGGTATCGATACTGTCTAACAGAACACTGTTGTTGCTATCGATAGTTTGGCGCGTTGCTTCTGTTATTTTACAGCACTGTTAGCATGTTAACAGGTGGTGCAGTTATTTAATAGAAAATGGTTATATGCTTAGCTAAGGTGGTTGCACCTAATATTTAAACGGCATAGCATACTTTCAGGTGGCGCTTGTTAAGTGCTGTCAAACTTTTGTTATGGGTTAGTGGCACTGCTAAAAGCTTAAGGCGCATACTGTTCTCACTATTTGAGCTTCTGCTTGCTATATTTATGGGTATAGTTAAATAATATGGGCTAGCACAGACATGAACCGCTTGCAATCGAGAGAGAATTTTCATATTAAATTTTATATAAAAAATAAAAGAAATTCAAATAATATTTAATGCTAACAATTTAATAATTTATAATTTCAATTAAATTAAATGCTCGCTTGTTTTTGTTTTTGTTTACTTTTTGATATATTTTTATTTCTCCATAACTCTATATTTATCTATATCTTATCTTTATCTTTATCTTTATCTATCTGGCAATCGTGAGCTATTGTTGCACCTAGGCCAGTTAATACCCAGAGAGCTCAGCTAAAAAAAAAACAAGACCAATAAATCGTGTGGCCCTGTTGACACCTCTCGAAACTCTCGAAGCGCTCGAAACTCTTGAAGATATTGAAGTAAGCGAGAGGGGGAGGGGGGGGGGGGCTTGGAGGGTGTCGGGGGTTGCTTTGATTGGTGGCTCTTGCCCTACGAGTGTCTATTTTAGGTGGTGGGGGGGCATGGTGCTGCCCGGCATGAATATTGGATAGTAAATGGAAACAAATCCATTTGATTAAAAGTGTATAGTGTAGCTGGGGTAGGCGGGCGGATAGGGTAGGGGAGGGGAGGTGTAGGTCGGCTGGGCTGTGCGTTGCGCTGGCTCGGTGGTTCGCTGGTTCGCTGGCTCGGTCCCGTCTGCGGGCTGTGTGGCATTAAGACATCACAGACTGCACAAAAGCAACAGAAACTCTGACAGCAGCTCAAATCGTTAAGCAAGCGATGTGGAACCGGGCGACGGTCGCAAATTCACCACGGCCTTGGGACCTGCTGCTCGACCTAACCACCCAATCCAACCCAACCCAACCCAACCCAAGCCAACCCAAGCCAACCCAACCCAAGCCAAGCCAAGCCAAGCAGCTGCATTTTGGGCTTTGGGTGCTCTCTGGTGCTTGAAATTAGATTTTTGACTGAGCGACTGGTGGGGCCTGGGGAGCTGCTATTGCAAATTGGCCAGTGTTGCATAACATTCGTTGCGAGTCTTAAGTGCGCTACACGTGCCCAGACGGGGCGGGTTTTTGGGGCTCGCGAGCTGAGCCCAAGCAAATCCTTCAAAAGAGCATGTGATTTATAATATGCTCGCTGATGGAGAGGTGGCCCACCTCTATGCAACTAACTAAAAGGGGGAGTGCTGCAGAGTGGGTGGTTAAGGAGAGGGGGGGGGGGGGGTGGGGTTTGAGGCGCCGCCAAAGCGGAGCAACAAATAAATGTTTATGAGCGGATTATGTTTGGCTTTACCGAATTCCATTTGAATTTAATGAGCCCAAAGATTACGCACATGATTAACATGCTGGCAGCGGGTATGCGCGACCAGCAGCTACCCTGCAAATGCAAATGAGCAAAGCACTCGGAGAAAAATCAAAAGGTTGCTGCACAATTCGTGCGGAAAAGTCATTTGTCGAACAGAGAAAATGGTATTCAAAAAAAAAGCGCTGCTTTTTATTTCTGAGTTCCCAAATGCTCGCACTTCGTTGGACTGCCCCATCTCTGCTAAGTAGAGGGTATTTCCCAGCTTATTTTCCTATAATGAATACCTTTCTTGCTTTACTTTTGATTTGGAATTATTCCACATATTTTAAGACCCAAACGAACGGAATGTCGACTTTCTGAGTCGATAAAAAATTAAATGCATATAAATATATATATATATATAGTTATATATTTATTGGGCATACTTCAGGCATAACCCATTTAAGCCTAGGCCCAGGCGCAGATCCCGCCCTGCTCGCTGCAAAGGCAGCTAGCCCAACATAACTTCGGTGTTCACGAACTGATTGATCTGAAAGTCTGTCCAAATAGAAATACTATAAAAATGTGCCTGCATACCAAAAATGAAGACAGGAACTCACACAATTGCCCAGATGTTGAGATTTGGAAAATTGGCCTAATGCCTGCAGGAATTGAAAGTGAATGAATTAAAGTGAAATCTTGTTCAATTGGCGTCAGTCTTTTTGTCTGGCTGCACGTGCCGGGCGTAGCCATTTTACAGGGTATATGCTATGCTCTGCGAATGGGAAATATATCGCGAGGCTGGCGCATTTTTAATTGAAATATGTCGCCGCGACATTTCATACACATTTAACAATCGATCAGACGTTCTCATTTGGCTCCATCTCCCCCTCATAATAATATCCCGCCTCCGCAGTCTACTGGTACAACCACCCCCCCTTCCCCCTCTACCACCCTCCACCCCTGCCCCACTCAACGGAATCCACTTAATGGCACTCTTGTTGTTCGGCCTGTTGTCTAATTTATGCCGGCATCGTTGCCGCCTTGTCTTCAATTAGTCGCTCGGCAACTGGCAACCGGCAACTGCAACTGCCCCTCGGGAGCGCAGCGGCTTCTCTTCTTACACAGCTCTACAAGCGGGGGGGGAGAGAGAGAGAGGGAGCGGGAGGGCGAGATGGATGTGCTCCCTCTTCGCAACGAAAATCAAACTTCAAACTATTCGTCTAGCATTACTTGATACTTAACCGACCTTTATTTATGTCCCTGTCAACGCCTCTCAGCTGCTCAATTTTCCAAATACGCAAAAAAAAAAAAATCAAATAAACAACAGCTCACAAAAAAATGAAACAACTCTCGAGTAGCCGAAGTCCTTGATACTCTAACTCGACTTTAAAATGCGTTTTGATATGTTTCTTCAATAAGTTTTCTTTTCAGTTTCAAACTGCTTTGGGGGAATGTCCCTAATGTTTTCGATTGGAGCAAAATAATCTTCGAGCTATATTTCGAAAGTATTCCACTTTTGCTAGGCATTAGTTTAATATGATAAACCAGCTCGATTCGTTTAAGATTTGTTTAAATAACATAAAGCTGACAATTTTTATTTTTTTTTTAAATGTGCCTGTCAAAGTTAACATCCACTTTAACATTTAATCTTGTAGCTTGACGAAGTCGAAGCCGTTTTTGTACAAGTTAATAATCTGTTTGCAGTGTTGCCACCCTGTCATTTTATGGCACATCTGGCAGCACTGAGGAAAGCTTATGAAGAAAGTTAGTTCAAATGGAAAATCATGTCAATAGAGATATTTATACACATGCATATCGATAGGAACAGTTTGTTATGATTTGCACAGAGTGCGGCGTTGCCAGCTAAGGCCATGGCGTTGCCACACTGCACGTAAATCTTAATGCTTATGTATATTTGAATACTATTTAACTGAAGTTTTACTTTTGTTTCTTTTCGCTTTGTTACACAATTCACAACAGAGTGAAAATACTCTCGGTTAGGGCATATTTTAATATCTTGCTGCCTTTGGGGGGGGGCTGGTCGGGCGTCTTGCAGTGGCTCTTTGTTAATTGAAACCTGTTGTAAATCACAAATCATATCGACTGCCGTCACTTGTCCCAACGGCAGCAGCAGCAACAGTTGCAGCAGCAGCAGCAACAGTTGCAGATGTCGTCGGTTCTTCATATTTGAGAAGCTCGAGAGGGGGCGACTGCAACAGCTTGCATTAGATTTGGGGTCCCATTTTGGTAAGATCATAAGTTCACGAAATGCCCAGACAATATCCGAGTGAGTGTATTCATTATGAATCAAGCGAGTGCAACAACTGAGTGCGTGTATTCATGATAGATTCAAGCGAATGCAACGCAGAACAAAGCTAATATGGCCACACGATCTTTTCATGCATTATGATTTCAAAGCGAAGCGTGTGACAAATATAAATCACAAGTTTGGAGCATTTATCTCTTCTCATTTTAGAGTTATGCCCCAAAGGAGACGTCTTCAAATCGATATCTATCGATTTTAGGCTATTTCAGACTATCGCCTGTGAGCTAGAACTATGAATATGATTCCAGTAAAATCGAGACAATATATACTAGGCCATGATAATTTTCAATTTTCCACCCATTTTCCGCTCGTGGATATTTTAAATCTACCCTGTTCTGAACTGTTCATCTTCGACCAAAAACCTTTGACTAGCACTTTCATCGCGTGGATTCTGGGAAAAGTGTGAAACACTCTTAAGATATACTTAGATAAAGATACTTGAAAATGAATGTCGCAACCGAAACTTTGGCCAGCTTGTCTTTGACACCCATTTCCACCAAAAACGTGTGGATTTGCCGAAATGTGTGGGACAACTTTCACACGTGCTTGAAAAAGAAAATATATATATATATTTGTAAATGAGTTGCAGCTTAATCCTGGAAAGGCTAACAAAAATGTTTGCAAACTCTTTTTCACGAATTTTTCACGCTTGCCGGTGGAAATTGACAATTTATAGAGATTTAATATTCGCTTAATGTTTGGGAATACCCTTTCCTTGCCACGCACAAGAGCTGTTAGCTAAAGGAGCTGAAAAGTATATAAATATAGCCGAGAAGTGTTGAGAGGGTGATTGGAAGGGGGGGGGGGAGAATGTCATAATCGATCACAACATTGAAATGGAATCAGACAACTGTAAACTAATGACATTTCCAGTTCCCTTTCGCAAGCTAAGCAGGCGGCCCTCAAGAGCGGCTGCCGTCCATGATCCTGCCTGGTCGTGCTGTGCTCTGTTGTGGGTGTCCTTTGCAGAGTGCTCAGGGGTTGATGCGACTCGACTTGATGCGGGCAGTTGGCTCATTTGTTTGTTTTGAGCGGGTCGCTTGGCTGTCCAAATATGCGG